TATATATCTGAAAGTTGTCAGCAATATAAATAGCAAAGTGGAATGCAGATGTGAAAATTCTACTTAAGCACAGTAATGAACTGTCGATCTTTTATTTTACTGGGATGCGATATTTGACGTTAAATTGCTCTTTCAAGCAGGGCTTTTCATTCCTTAATAACTTCACATTATTCCGTGTCAGGAGCTCACATGGCGCCTAATTGCAGTCCGTGTGGAATGTTTGAAACGGGGGAGGACTCGCTGGATGAGGCCATTTTGTGTGCTGATCAATGACCCAGTCAAACGCTGCATGGCATTAACACTTCTTTGAAGGCACGGCACCTCTCTGAAGCCGCATGAAAGACACCACACTCCATATTTCATCTTTCTCGTGCTCTACAGCAGCCAGGCAGCAAGAGTTGCCGCTGCGCACACACGTTCGCATGCGTACACGTATACACACACACACACACACACACACACACACACACACACACACACACACCTGTCACACGCAGCAGCACTCAAGCTGTCGAGCTGTGTGGAGGCTTCATCAGCACGCTGAGGCAAAGTCAACAATTATAACATTATTTCCAGTGTGGAGAAATGAAATGTCAGAGAATATAACTGCTGGCATGTTGTCAAAGAAAGAGGGGAAAGAAACTAGTCATGCTCTTTCACAGCCTTCAATTCAAATTCAAGTCTTTCCTTCTTTTTCCATACTGTTGTTATGCATGACAGCCTTCCTCCAGCAGGACTATGTGTAACATTGAAATATAAATATAGTAACATTTTATACTGCAAAGAAAATACACATTTGGTAAGTTACAACTGCAAATGAGTGTGAATTTTACAATAGAATGAAAGAAAAGCTGTGATTTTGTTTTCACTGGTATGACATTATCATAAATTCCGGTGGGCGGCACGGTGGGCAACTGGTGAGCACGTCTGCTTTACAGTGCAGAGGTGCAGGGTTTGATTCCGGCTCCGGCTTTGCTGTGTGTAGTCCATTTTCTGATCCGCTTCTCCTCACAAGGCTCGCGGAGCGTGCTGCAGCCAATCCCAGCTGTCTTCGGGAGGTAGACGGGGGACACCTTGAACCGGTTGCCAGCCAATTGCAGGGCACACATAGACGGCCAACCATCTGCGCTCACACTCACACCAAGGGACAATTTAGAGTGTTCCATTAACCTGCCATGTATATTTTTGGAATGTGGGAGGAAACCGGAGTACCCGGAGAAAACCCACGCAGGCACGGGAAGAACATGCAAACGCCACATAGGAAGGCCGGAGCCGGATTCAAACCCTGCACCTCTGCACTATGAGGCGGACGTGCTAACCAGTCAGTCGATCACCGGGCCGCCCGTACTGATGTAAATAATTTTGAAAAGTCAATGACACACCTTTTTTTCACAACTACTGTAAATGCTCGTGTACAGTTGGATAGCAGCCGATATCATTCCCTCCTTGTCTCTTTTCCTTCTATGTCTCTCGTCTTTAGTTCCATCACAGGCTAACAGTCCCGTCCCACCTGCTCCGCCTCCCCCTCCACCTCTTCCTCCTCCTCCTCCCCCTCCTCCTCTTCCTCCCGTATCCGTGGCGCCTTCCTCCTCCTCTCCTCTAAGCAACGGAATTCACTACACGTTTGTGTAACACAAGGGAAAAAAAAAGTAAGGCCAATCTGCATGTTTTCTTGCATGCATCAAGTACACTGTCTGATGAAGCGCGCGTGCGCTAATTGAACAATATGTATCTGCTCCCAGTCTCCATCTGCTTTTCCCACGGTCATCACAGTGTGCAGATTGTGCTCGGGCTCAAACATTTGTGAATGGTTGACAAAAGAAAGTGTGTGTAATTAACGGTCGAGTCGTTGAGTGATTTAACACCTTTACTGTTCACGGGCTGAAACAACTGTATTCCAATTAGCTCCATGTCTGTACTGGTGAGGAAAACAGCAGAATTCCAGCACTGTCCTGATTGACGGAAATGGTACAGTGTTATCTATTATTGCTAAATTGTGGTTCATTATTCGCCGATACCACGTTTTTTTGTTAAGTGAATGTTTATCGGTTTCTATTACAACCCAACCGATGAATCGGCCAGTCATTTTAAACAGCCTATATTGATGTGCTCTTATATAATCTTACAAATCAGCTGACTTATTATTGTTTTTTTTCCCATATTAACGTATTACAGCATTACACAATGACATTCTAACATCCCCCAGTTGCCTAAAAAAAATGCTGATTTTTCTCTCTGTTGTAAAGGTAAACAAATGCTCAAACATAAAGTTATGTCAAAATAAAACAGTCAGTCTGCCCTTAATTCATATCTTTGTTGTTGTAAGTGTTGAGCAATCTTGATTCATTGTTTAATTAATCCGTTATCAAAATTTTATTCTGCCAAATATCGGAATCGGCCTAGGAAAAAAAAAATCGTCCGGGCTCTAGTTTTTACGGTACACAGTGGTACCTTAATTTATGAGTGCTTAAGGTAGGAAGTATGATGTGCAGGTATAGATTAATTTGTAAGCTTCAGATCTGTGATGCACTTTAGGACAAACAGTCAAACACACAAATACAAAATGAAAACAATTACAAGGAGCATGGAGGAGAGGCTAGCATTGCTAACCGTGCCGTAAACTGTGACTTAAAAAAAAGTTTTTGTCTCATTAGGTTTTATTAGGATTTGGTACGTATGTTTTACAAATAAAGTCGATACACTCGTAACACCGCAGTGGAAATCACTTGGTTTTGGGGGTGGTTCTGTGTCAAGCAAATGAGCCAGCCGATCAGTCAGTCTCAGTCAGTCCCTTGCTCAAGCATTTGTAGAAATGAAGGCCTCTTCTTGAATAGACACCCGTCTTCAAATAAACACAGGTCGCTCTCTGCAGTTAAATATTGAATCAACAACCCTCTTTCATTTCTATTGTCTTGTCTTTTTCAGCACAAGCAATTTCTGGACACTGAGGTCCTCTCTGACAATGGCAACAAACGGCAGGATTGTCCAAGAGAAGAAGCTTTTAAGTGATCCTCAATATATTTATGCACCTCACTATCTGAATGTAGAATGCATTTCACCTTCTCATGCAACATCAACAACCTCTGAATGGATTTTTCTTTTGTTTCGAAGAGGAATCTGCAGCACCGAACTCTTGGAAAAATCTATATTTTCTATATACGCTATTGCACTTTGAGCTGTACGCTGTAAAGAGAACTGAAATATTTTTTAGGTGGCTACTTTTCTTGTTTGTCCATGTACATAATGTCAAAAAAACAAGTGGGACTGAATCTGTCATAGTTGTAGATTTTTATCACGAAGAAAGATGATTTTATTTGGGGGGCGGGCGGGGTGATTTTCAAACAATATCATGTACATATATGCCACATAACACTGATCGTCTTCTGTTAGCTTTTATTTTTGCTTCCATCCAGATGGAATAACATTTCACATATTTTGCGTGGGACTGTGAAGGTCGCACGAGTGCCGTTCATTCAAATGTGAAGATTAAATGCCATCGACAAAAACTTTAGTCAGTCCTCTATGTGGCTCACTAGCACGAATGGACAAAATGGAACATCAAACAAAGTTGATACTGAATGCATGTGTGCATGAAATGAACATCGGCATGTAAAGACAGATACATCTGGACATAATATCAGAGGTCTAAGACACGATGGCGGGAGTGTTCTAGTTTTGAGTGTAGTCATGGAACAAACCAATTTTGTAAGTCTAGGCACCGCTGCATTGATCAGGTTTCAGTTATCAGCTGCGTCCTTTCACACACACACACACACACACACACACACACACACACACACACGGTTCTCCACCCCTCGCACTTTTATCTTTAATTGGCGACTATTGACATAGTGCGGTCTGCAGCGCGGTGCGCTTTGAAAGCACCTGAGAGGGAGGATGCACCTCCCTCAGCTCCACAGTGGGTGCAGCCACATCCTCCCTCCTCCTTCCCTGCCTGCCTGCGTCTCTCCTGCAGGATAGAGGCCCCACAGCGCCCACTGGCCCTGGTGGCAAGAAAGGCCCCGCGCCGCCTCCGTTCTGCTTATTCGGCAAGAAAAAAAATGGGATGTTTTTCCCCTCCTTGTGCAGAAATGCATTCAAGGCCTCCCACGAGCTTTGTGGCATCTCCATGTATTGACGTTTGGCCGCTGGTTCGTATACATTTGTTATTCTGTGCTCTGGACTTCAAAGGGAATGGAAGAGGGGCCAATTATGCTAATTGGGTCATGTTCTGTTAAACACAATCAAGGCCTCCCACCGTAATGCCTGACTAAATACTTTCTGGCTTCAGAAATGCTCTCACATAAAAAACCAAGACACATGATGCTCCCTCTCCTGTCACGCGCTTTCTTTTATGCCGGAGACACGTTTTTGTAGAAATGGAAATGAAGGTGATAAATAAATAAGAAAGTATAGCAGAAGCGAGTCGTGCGAGTGTTTGTAGAGCACTTGACATTCGGTTGAAAGCTTTTTATTCTCTGCTACGGAGGCCACGTGGAGAATTTTGCGACCTTGCTCTCACGTGCAAATTGTTCACTGCGTTCGTGTTAAAGCGGCACGTATTCCCCACAGAGAAACAGAAGCGTTTCATTCCCAGCCATTCCTTTTTCCTCGGCATAAATACAATTGTTACTCGCCGTCATCGTTTTGGGGATTAGGAAACGCAGTCGGTGCTTCCCTCGCACGCGGCAGGGATCCTCATTGTGGTCCGGTTGGACAAAACCCAAAACCAAGGAGGCCGAGGCATTAGGTGCTTTGATATTGAAACAGTACATTATGCTCTTTTATCATTTCCAAGCTTCACACACTGTACATTTTTTAATATGTAAGAAACGGAATAGTGATTTGCTGAATAATTGAAGAGCTTGGAATCCCTGAATATTCTTTGCGCCCGCTTGGAAAAAGAATAGAGGAGAGCTGGATTGTAGTCGAGCTCAACGCCGACTTTTTGCGAAAAGTAAAACAATATCATTTTTAAAACATCTTCCGACAAAGCCGAGCGTCGAGGCGTATCGCCCTCGAGGAATAATACAACAGTATTAAATATGAAGTAATGCACTGAAGAGGCAACCCCTCAGACAGACATCAATAAGTGCGTATTGAAAAGGTGCTGCGTTACATTAAACAATGAATTCATCTGGCGCTCCTTAAACGGCAGGCTTTTACAATACCTACAGTGAATGGGGCTTTTTCCACATAAAAGTGATTGCTTTGTCAATGAAGCAAATCCCCCAGGGCCTCCTCTTTAATCAGCTCCACACACACACACACACACACACACACACACACACACACACACACACACACACACACACACACGTGCACAAGTCAGAATACAAAAAACATTTACAAGCCGCAGAGAATACTACTAAGCTTTTGTAAAAGAAAATAAGGATTCTGTGTACACATTTCTACCCGCATATACAATGTGTGACAAAGATAGGCTTTGGGAGGACTTTTTTTTTGTATATATACTGTCACATTTCAGCAATTCTACAGGGAAAGTGCAGCTGTCTCAAAAAAGAGGCAGTACAAAAATCTAATTTCACACACACACAAACACACACACACACACACACACACACACACACACACACACACACACACACACACACACACACACACACACACACACAAAATGCGCACGCACAAGCTGAGCCAAGTGAAATTTACTTCATTTAGCGACTCCCTTGAAAAGACAATAAATGCAGCTCGGGATCTACAGCACAGCATCGAGGCAACACATCAGTCTTTGTAACGGCGGGAAAAAAAATACTCAGATAAAATCCCATTAAGCCTTCGAAACACACCTGGGCAGCCGCGGAACAATTCAGTGTGTTCTTGACTATCATTTCGCAGCCGAGATGTTGGTTTCAGTGAAAGCTTAGTCGAACGCATTCTGTATTTTTGCACGGACAGAAAAGGATCCATAACACACTAAAGAGGTCATTTGAATGAAGTGTGATGTAGGTCGTGACAAAAACAGCAGAAGACACTTGGGGAGTGAGTCGCTTCGCATTATTCGGATCTTATTACTGTAGAAGTGATTATCCTTGCGACTTTACCGTCGAATAATCAAGTAATCGGGAGGATTTGTACATGAGTGGTTGAGGTCCGGTCGAATCGACATTTATGTAGACTGGAAATGTTTGTGTGGATGGCGTATCTCAGGGGTGTCAAACTCATTTTTTGTCGCGGGCCACTTCGGAATGACGGCTTCCCTTGGAGGGCCGGTGCCAAATCTCAACGTTATTTATTACCCATGACAATTTGACATTTTGGTACAGATTTCAGCAAGAATGATGATAGTTGATACACATGATTTGCTCCCACGGGCCACATAAAATGACGCGGGGGGGGGGCCTGGATTTGGCCCCCAGGTCTTGACTTTGACACATGTGGCGTAAGGATGACGGCGAAGCCTCGGGGGGACACTTGGTTTTTGAGGGATTTTTTTTTTTCTCCGTCTTGTGCTCTGTAACACGAGTGACTCTTGACTCAAAACACTTCCCCATTGCAATGAATGAAGATGCCATTAATCCATTCCGGCACCCCTACCCTTCGGTTTTGTACTTCGTAAATACGTCTAATAATAACATCATTAAAAAGAATGTGAGGAGAAAAAAAAAAGCAGTTGGTGCACCATGATAATTCAATGAGTATTGTGCTGCTCCTTCCAGTCGATGCACCTTGGCCCCCTGGGGGGCAGAAGAATGCAAAGACATACTAAACTTTTAAATTTTAAACAGAAGACCCTCACAGGTGAGCTTATCTAATCTCAGTCATTATTTTTTTTTCTTTTCCAAAGGATATAGTTTATATGCCTGTGAGAATTGTCTGTCTGCATGTGTTGCTACCATTTGTGTCCAAATATCCATGCATCCATTTTCGAATCCGCTTGATCCTCACGAGGGTCGCGGGAGGTGCTGGAGCCTATTCCAGCTGTCTTCGGGCAGTAGGCGGGGGACACCCTGAACCGGGTGCCAGCCAATCACAGGGCACACAAAGTTAGAGTGTCCAATCAGCCTGCCATGCATGTTTTTGGAATGTGGGAGGAAACCGGAGTACCCGGAGAAAACCCACACAGGTTTCTAATCGGGGATTATCGATGGTAGTTTCACAAGCCTCTCTGTGGTTTTCCCCATTCATGTGTTGGCATTAAGTCAGCAGACTTTCTGCAACAACATATGGTTTGGTACAAGGTGAAATTATCTTTATCTTCAGTATTACAGTGAACTTTAGCCGCGAAGCAAGTCCGTAACCCTTCAAAAGTATTGGAACGGTCAATTTCTTTGTTTTTGTTGTACAGCGAAGACATTTGGGTTTCAAATCAAAAGATGAATATGAGACAAATCCTTTCCAGCTTTTCTTTCATGTTATTCACATCTAGATGTGTTCAACAACTCAGGACAGAGCCTCTTTTGTTTGAAGCCACCCACTTTTCAAGTGAGGAAAAGTATTGGAATGCACATTGTTAAATGAACTTGATGATGAATGAATTCAGAATTCTACATAAACATTTTGTCTGGCAAATTACCAAAAAAATGCTACCTACCTAATCGGGAGAAGCTTCATCATGCTCTACATAACCATTTTGTCTGGCAAATTACCAAAAAATGCTACCTACCTAATCGGGAGAAACTTCATCATGCAGCAAGACAAAGACCCAAAACATACTGCCAAACAATTTCATCAGGCGAAAAAAGTAGAAGCTGTTAGGCCATCCCTTGATCTGAAACCCAAATGTCTTCGGCACACAACAAAAACAAAGCAAGTGACCTCGCTGTTCCAATACTTCTGGAGGTGACTGAATGTGGCCTTTTGTTGTTGAAGAATTTGCTGATATCTGCAGTGCTGCTGGTTGTTAAGTCCACTGTTCCCAACTGGTGCTCGCAAAACATGATAAAACAAACAAACAAACAAACAAAAAAATCGGCCTAGTGACGGCGAGCTAGTCGAGGTATCGCGTTACCTAACATGACGAGGAAAAAAATGGTCCACATGCAGTCGTGTGAGTGCCGCCGATGTTGATATCCGCTTGCTCGGGGCCGTGTAAGGACATCCCTAAAAACTATATACGGTAATTAGAATTGGCATGTCACACTTCTTATTTCAACATGACTAATCAGTGCTTCTCTGTTCACTTGAAAGGAAATATTAGATTCCGACTAAACTTTGATGGACTTCAGAGTTACAAGTGAGGGATTTGGGTCAACTAATAAGAACAGAGCGTCCCACTTTGCAAGGCGGATGATTAGCATGTATGCAGATGCCGTCTCGGTTAATTGCATAACTTTGCATTCGCTCGTGACAAATTCGACACGGCGTACCAGCCGCGGATGGCCCTTTGCATCGTGTCGGTGCACGTGACCCCTGCTGGCGGGTCAATGTGTGCGCGCGCGTGCTTGACGGTGCCCGATGAAGGTCTCGGTAAACAAACATTTACACTTTTCACCCCATAAAAAAATATCAAGGACAGCTCTGTGAACTGCAGAACAACTAAG